AACCCCAAAACCCCAAAACCCCAAAACCCCAAGATGAGTTGTATAGAATCATTCATTAAATTATGAAATAAAGCTTATGATTTGATTAATTATTATCGTGGTTTAGGTGATATCAGAAAATATTGCATTAAGTTGTTGACTCCTCTCTTTGAAAATCGTTGCTCTATGGCTTTCTATGCCCCACAGGATGATTCATCCTTTCCTCTCTACCTTCTTTGACTAAAGCGATCTTTGATATTCGCACCTCTCTTTTCAATGGTACCTATTATTATTTTAATTTTACTATACTTACCAATTAGGGTTCACAGAGACATCTGCAAGCGAATTAATTATAATCAATAATCATTGAGTCATGTTCTTAGAGATCATCTGGCTCTTAGCCAAATGACTAATCTGGGTGAGGCTGCATCTAATTCATTTTAAACTGATTGGCTCTGGTCCTCATCATTTAGAAACTATTCTTTGTTTTTTTTAGAGCATTAGTTCTCATTGCAGTTACTTGAGAATCATTTGAAAATCTATCATCTGCTTATGAAACATCTATTATATTATTGCTGTTGGCATTATTAGTTTGATGCTCCACAAAGCTTAGGGCTGGTTTAAAAGTATCTCTATAAGTCATTGGTGATATAGTATTCATTGAAATTGGTGAAATTGATCTTTAGTTAATGTCAAAGTTTGTTTATAGTTTTAACCTATCATTGATAACTTCATTAAGCTTGGAGGATTAAAATTTATCCTAATGTGATTCAATTGTTCCATCAAACGAGACTTTAGTCTCAAGCGAGCCAGCAAAAGAATTAGAGTTTATCAGCTTGACTTTCTTTAGGTTTTACTTTTAGCTATTCGCTAATAGATTATTATTGCTGGCATAGGAGCTAAGTTTACTTATTGGCTGCCTAACTCCTCTTTATTAAGATGTGGCAAAGTACTTGTCATTTTAGACATATGACTTATCGGCTCTCGATGTCAGAGGAGCACCTGATCTGCTACACTTTGAATCAATAGACATATGGTTAAAGGATAGTTGCCTTTGTGAATAATGTTTTGCCTTTTTAGTTTGATATGGAGCATTTTCTGTTTAAATTTTTGAGCTCTCAACTGATGCATAAACAACTAATGCGGGTTTCTCATTAGAAACGGAGTTCTTCTATACGCTGATAGATCTATCTGTTTCCTCCTGAGATTTCTAAATTTACTTAGATCCATCTTACACATAGATGAAGCTCTATTACTTGATAACTTCTGGATTTTTGTAGTTGCAATCATAATCCTAGTCTGAACCAGAGCCAAAAGCAGATCCTGAGGATGAAGTATCAAAAGGTTTAACTTACTACGTTTAAAGTTCTAAAATCCTGTCGTTGATATTCTTCAATGAGTCATACCTATTCTTCTAGAACAACATCGTATTCATACTTAGCTACTGCCATGAGTCCCTAGTTATCTTACTAGTCTATTTCTGCTCTGATGTTTAAGCCTAGTAATGCTTTCCATTTTAGACATTAAACCCCAAATTTTAAAGAACAAAGGATCTAGAGCGATTTTATGCAAATAGCTTTCCTGTTGATAAGTTGTTTCTTAGCTTGATCTTAGCTTGTTTTTGTTTATGAAAGACCGCTGCTACTCCAGATATATTTGTTGAGAGACTTGCAGCTGAAGCATTCGATTGTAGCTTTTTCAAATATTTTTAAGATCTTCTGCTTATCACTGTAGCTCTGTCTGTTAACTATGATGAGGATGAAAATCCTCCATTATTTTTCTTCATAAGATCGTTATAATTTAAAAATTAGTCTAAACTTTTTCATTTATTCAAATCTCTTCTTTAATTAGATAAAATCGGTCATCTTGGGGTTTTGGGGTTTTGGGGTTTTGGGGTTTTGGGG